TCACCTCGCGACATTTATAAATAATGTGCTTAATTTGCAAAGTGTGCAAGTCGCCACAAGTATGATTCCTTAAATAGCTCACTATTTAAATGTCAGACTTATTTATGGCTAGAATTTTTACTATTTTCTCTCCACTTTCTTTTGTGTTATTTTAAACGCGATTGTACTATGAGAGTCATATGGATATTGGACATAAGAAAATGCATAGTACTACATAGTATAGCATGCAAGTGAAATCCTTTAAAGGCTTCTTGTGGTAGGCTTTATAAAAATAGAAATCTAAATGTAAAGTAATTCTGATTATGGAATATGATTCTTAAGGAGAAAGCTGATGGATTAATTTTTCAAAATATCCATGAGAACAATGAAATCTTGACCTACTTCTTGCTACATTTGGTTTGATTTTCTCCATAGAATATGGTCTTGAGCATGATTGTAACGTGATTAATGATTAGAACTAGGGAATAAGCTTTTTGAGTAAGGTAAGCAGTTGGAATAATTGAATTGACTCATTTAGTGCAACAACGTGTTGTACTGGTACGATTAATGGATTTATAGTTAAACTTTTAGTTGAGGAATACATTGCATTAGGTGATTTTACGGATTTTACTTAAATTAAACGAAAAAAGCTCAGGAAACGATTGACTTGAATATATTCTATACTTCTTACTTTTATGAAGCTTGTCTAGCCAATTTTTATTACATCTACTCATTCACTACTAAATTTAAAGCTACAAACTCTTATCATGTAGACATCTCCATTGTATGACAAATCTGAATATATCATATAAGCAATTACGTTGTCTGCTTAGCTTTACATTGTTCCAAATAGTGCTAACCCAATCCTAATAAAATCTTCCTCTAAAGTCCTGCTTTAAAAACATTTTCAAATGGTATTCTAGACAAAAATTGAGCTGACATTCCAAACATTTCTAATTTCTCCTTCGCAAGTTTAAATTTATATCCAAACTTAATTCTAGCATGTTGCACGCAAAACTATAAAAATTCTAGCATTAGTAAAAATGCCATTCGTGAATATGTATACAGAATAATGTAAATATCTGTAAACAACAAAGAAGATTCATTTTCCATATTGTAGGGAAAAATGTTTTCATGTCGAGACAGAGTCTCATATAGTTAAAGCAATATCAATAACAGAAAAGTAAATAGACATCAATGCTTCTGTTGATGATTACACTTTAAAGAAAGGGTAGAGGACCTCTCAAGTGTGAAAGACAGTCCACTTTCTATTTATAAAATTCTTATTTACAATTATTGTAACGAATAAGAATACACAAGTGTCTATTTTGCTTCAATTTCCTCATTCTAGTCTTTTCACTTTATGAATGCATAATAAATTCATTCAGTCAATCGAAAGAATTATAATTGTCTGTTAAATTTATGCGTAACTGGCCTCACATCAAACAGATGCATCTTGATTTAATTATTTATCGACTGTTCATGACAATATGATTGCAAATGAGACGCAAAGTGTTTTGCAAATCAATTCGATAAAATGAATAGGGAAAATCAACAAGTTCATAGACTGAATAAGGAGGAATTTATTGACATTGGGTAAAATAATCAATAAGCAAATCCTCTATTATAGGTCAATATTTATTTGTTCTGTTTGTACTTAAATAAGTCAGAATTGAGAGGCATGAGGAAATGAAAGTGAAAGTATTTTAGTGGCAGGTGTGTTCAAGGGTTGGAAACTTATTGTCTGGATAGTGCAACAAAGTTGTTTTGGCCTTAAAAATGCGAGACTCACTTGCTATCACTAGAATCTCAAATATTCGATATGCCATACCTAACCTAACCTCACTTCAATCGTCAATACATTCAAAACATATTAAGCAAATCATCACAACATAATCCGAAAATTACCTTTTTCATTAGAATATATATATAATGATATATATATTATCATTTATTTTCATTGACAAAATAAATTCTCATTTCATATCAAAAATTCAAAAAAAAAACAAAAAATTCATCTAGACACGCAATCGGTAGTTCGGTAAGTGACCATGAATGAGGTCGCAATAGTAATTCACTTCTTGATTTCCACAATAAAGATTATATCAATAGAAGTGACTTAAATCGATTCGTTTTTTTTTGTGTAAGCAAAAAGGAAGGAAAAGTAGAAAGTGTTCACCGCGTGGCGTCTTAAAATGAAAAATAAACATTCTTAATGAATTTACTGACAAAGAAGATGGAATGTATGGAATGAATTGATGTCAATTTGTATCAATCGTGAATACATTTGTAGCTTATCATGGTGAGTCATTGATACTAATGACAATTACGTTAGGTTTTCTACTTTGAATTATTAGTCATCTGCAAATATATGTGTGGCTTCACATACGTATGTACTTCCTCAAATGTATTGGTTTTGTATTTTTTATTAATAATACAATGAATAACAAGCAAGTACATAACAAATGTGTAGACTTCTTGCAAAAAATAATGTAAATACATGCAAAACTTTTAATAACAGTTTTGATTGCAATCACAGGTTTATATGCGGCATGATAAATGGTCAAGCTTCCCCTCTTGAAATGTGTGCAAAATTGGCTTACTGTATTTGTGTCTGGCGAAGGACTTTTTGGACTTTTGACTTATTGAATTTTTCTTTCATGTACCTGTGTAATTTTTTGTGTGCTCATTGTTTTACAACATGTGAATCGATATGTTTTGGCTGGTTGTGGTTGAACATTGAGAGCAGTTTTTCGGGAATACAAATATTTCCCTAAATTTTAGATGAACTTAGTCGCTAAGTTCAGTAATATAAGTTGTGAAACTCCACGTGTAGCTTCAAATATTACATAAAATATAAAATGAATAAGTATTCGATGTAAAACCACGCAGAGGCGTTAGATACAACGACAATTCCCATTATTACAGCATAATTCAATAGGGTAACCCCGTCAAGTTCATTTTTAATTATTTAATAAATTCTCACGATAGTGACTTGCAGTCTGATTTGCGTACGACAATATTAATAATCAGAAACTCAATGTTTTTAAGAATTCATGAACCTTACTATGACCAGTTATGCCCACTTTAATAATAGCTATTGAAATATCTTCAAATAAAGAATTCATGAATTTGCACAAAATATTTTTATTTTATAGCATTTAGAATGTGATGGCAATACTAATAACAAAGCAATGATAAAAATCTTTGAGCATGAAATTATTCAATTCCAACGTCAGAAATAATTTTTGTGCTGATTTTTTTGCACTATAATTCTGTAAAAACATCTATTGATGCCTAACTTCCTCAATTCCTTATTGGTCAAGTTCTTGACTTATAATAAATAATAACTTAAAGTGAATTCATCGATGAGTTGTCAAAAAAGCCGGCAAGCAAGTATTTAAATTAGCATCAATATCATGACTACTCATGTGCGTCGGCCACAAAAATTTCAGCAAGTCTTATTTTCTGTTTAAACAGTCTCTTGTTTTTCCAAACAGATAAACTCTCTTTAAATAAAGTTATCATCTCTCTTATACGGTCTGCATGCAACACGGTTACTCACCGGTTGGGTAAACGAATGAGACATTCCGTTTTCTCAGAAACGTAAGTTCATTTCGCAGAAACTATTAAGTTTTGCAAATATGGAGCGATGAGAGGTGGGATTTTATTGTTATTTTAACTGAACTCTCAATTTTGTCGCCCAATTAAACATGAATAAGCATCAATCGGAAGTAATAGAAATTTATATTAATCATGTGGCTATTTAATGTCTCCTTTGACAGTTATGTGTGTAAGTTCTAACTCAATTTGATGAGAATTTCAGATTACTGACTGCTGAGCATAGGAAAATTTATAGACATACAATTATATTTATATGGTGATGCATTTTTTTGTTGACTTCTGAAGGTGATAATAGATGCTCGGAAGTGCTACTTTGAATGAGATTTACTTTACTTTTTATAAAAACTTTAATGAGCTAATTTAATTGAAGCACAGCTAGTGGAAATTCCTGAACGAATATTGCTCATTAAATTGGGATTATAAAAATTGTTGTGACAAAAATTATCGCAGGATTTGCATCAAGTTGATATTATGATTAGTATAATGATGAGTAAGTTACAACAATGTTTATTCCCATGAGCTTAAATTGAGTCTTTTGTGAATTTCAACTCGTCACTTTTGTTTCCACTTAATTGGACTGATAATGAATTTTAAAGGCGTTGAAATACTGAGAATAATGTGTGCGTTCATTTATGGAGCCAAGCCTACTTTTTAAGCAATTGATAAGACACCCTGGAGAGTACTTCTGTAATTGAACGTAATTTCAATAATTAAATTAATTGAGTGTGCATTTAAGGGTACTAAAGGCAACAGCTTTGGGACTGTTTTTTTGAAGTTTGGCTCCTGAATGTCTGATATTTTGGAATTGACTTGTTTAAATCAGTCCCGCATCCACAATTTACATAATCTTAATCAAGCATCACCAAATTAACACAATTCTCAGTCATCATCTTCCGATCAGATAAAGCAAATCGCCATTTAGACCTTCAAACATAATTAAACTAAAATTAAATTGAGAGAGTAAATTACAACTTCTCAACTATCAATGCTCAACGTGTCATTCCAGTCTATAATTTTACATGCATTTTTGAGATATTTTCGCGCGCTCGAATGCTACTCGTTAAGTATCAAATCAATATGATGTGCCGCATAGAAAATAAATAAATATCTTTATTTATTAACGCATTCTCAAGCAGCTGTTGATTAGCAAGCAAGTTCAAACTATTCCGTGCTTCCGTTCAACAGTATGAGAAGATCAATTGGCGATTGACCTTTGATGTTATAAAGCATCAACCATATGTACACACATACATCTTCTATATATATAAGTACAACAAAATGCGGAAAGTAAGTGCAATGAATAATTATTTTTGTTTTGTTGATGTATCGTTGCTAAAAATGGGAATCTCTCGGCGAATTCAGAAACTACGTAAATAATGAAATATTTATTAACTCACCTCAGCATGATTGATTGATGGTGCTGGTGCTGATTTGATAAAAACTATGAGCGCAGTCAATATCAGTACAATGAAACTAGATTTTGTGTATATTTTGTCCATTTTTACATCTATAATTGTCTGTAAATTGAGAAAGTGAAAAAAATTATATAAAAATTGATATCAAAAGTCTTAATAAGGCATATCGAACTTGAAATGAGTGAGCCATGCGTAAAAGTGAGTAATTGTGTTGCAGTGAGAAAAAAATAAATTGTTTGCCTAATCAGAAATGTTACAAAAATACAGCAGTAACTGTTAACGGTTTTGATTCTTTCGTTTGAAGGACAATTTTTATGTGCATTTTTAGAATTTTATCCGAATAAGGTCTTATTCGAGCTCAGATTTCGGGAGAATTGAGCAATTGTAGAGGTTTAGAGTTTGACTTAATTCCAGAAAACAAATCTGCTGACATTATTCAAAGATTCTAAAGATAAATTAACTTGTTTTGCAATTTCAAGCTTGTTTCAAGCTCAACAAGAACTGTCCAAACTCCATAAAAGTAACCGTACCATTGACCAACGTGCTATAGAATTCCCAACATTTATCCACAACTAAAATCACAACTTTAATAATCACTCCAAAAAATTAAACAAAAATAATTTTAATCACTGCTTAAAATTTCACACAAAAATGACATTGGCAATCTTGGATTTCCGCAATAATTTTCAATTCTTGAATGTTATTTCGTTCTTTCCTAATTTTATATCAAACTGTTTAGTCTACCGACCTTGGGGCATTTAAATTTCTTAACAAACTCACTCAATGAATTGAAACAATTTCATTTTTATCGGCTTTTTAACACAGAGAATTCTCAATATCAATTACGAATTCTCGACACAGCGATAATTTTTAAAATATTACCGTAAAATTTTATCATCATTTTAATGTCAAAATAGTGAGATTCATTTGCGTATGACGTCTAATATTCAGGACAAAGAGAGGAGTAAGTTTATTAAGCAATACAAAATCCTGACTTTGCTCCAAAAATTGTTGCTTAAATACGATTTTAATAATCAAAATGATTAAAGATAGACGTCATTAATGAACTTACCCCTGAGAAAAATGACAAAATAGCGCATAAATGTCGTCATGAATCTATTGACAATTGGATATCAGTGAACAAAGAAATCGTTCAAATACTTTTATTTGTGGGCATTGTGTTTTCGGTGAATGATTGTTCTTCTGTAAACGCTGCACATTCACTGTTCGATATAACAAACTGTATATTGAGAACATTTTATTGAACTGAAGCAGGTGCATTTGAATAAATAATTCTGATTTTGTTTTGTTTATGAGCATTCCTTATGATGAAATCTTTAACTTTTCTCAAAAACATTTTAATAATCGAAACCTTTTAATGTAGCGATTATAGCAATTGTGAGTAAAAATTTCCCAAAATATAAATTTTACAATGTAACTGAATAATACGGAAAAAATATTGTTCTCAAAGCGATAATTATCAGCAATAATCTTATTAAATTACTCAAATCGTGCAGCTTTATGAAAAAGATGAGCTACTGTTCCATGACTTCATAGAACATTACAAACAACTAAATATCATAATTATTGACTTTTCTGAATGTAATTTATTGTTTTCAAGATCTTCCGGTCATCATCATCATCATGCATAATGTGATGCAAGTCTCTCGATTAACAATCTTTCATCTTTACGTCACAATTAATTAACAAAATTTTAATTTAGAATGAAAGAAGCTCCAGTTTGTGACCTAGTCTAATTTCATTTAATATGTAATTGAAAAATAACATGGAAGCTTGGGAAGATATAGATCAAAATGATTTTGTTTTTTTTTTTAATTTGGCATGAGAAGCTAGTTTTGTGGGAATTTTCCTAATGGATTGTTGTTTTGTTGTAAAAAGGCTTTTTGAATTGAAGATTAATATTAAATTATCCTAGATTAAAGATAAGCTCAGAAGTTCCTGTTGAACCAAAACTTCAGAGTTAACAGCTCCTTTACTAGCTTGAACCAATAAACACTTTATTGTAGATTCTTAAACTATTTTTACTTTTTTTTTTTCATTTTAATTGCACTTTATTGCATTTATTGACGACATACTGTCCGGTAATAATTCACAGTTCTTTCTACTGTCTATGAATGATCTGCACTCATTTGTTCCTGTCTCTTCGGACTCTTAACATTCCTGCTTGATTAAAGGATACTCATAGCAATAGCAAAACATTTTATTGGGAAGAGACAGGCTTCTTTTTAAAAATGATTCTATAGACTCGAGAATTTGGAGTTTGAAGCGAAGGGTTCGGTAGTTTTTCAAAAATCACTTCAAACAAATCTAAGAAGACTAATCCCGTCAAGGGAATGAGATGTTTGATACCACAATATATACTCCATCTATTCCACAACAACGACCTCCCAAATAACCTCTCAAAGAAATAAATCTTTAATAACTACGTTTACTATACCAACAAAAGTAACAACTTGAAAAAAAATATTATTCATAAATGTTTTTGGACGATATAAATAAATGACCGGAAGAAAGGTGCTCAGCAGAGAACAAAAAGTAGTGTCGGTATGAAAGCGATAATGATGATTGCGGAGTATATATTTATGAAAAATAACACTGTATGAATGTTTTCATAATGTTTATTTATAGACTAGCTTTTTCATAGTTCCTCTGCCGTTCTTTACTGTTAATGAATTATTTTTTTTATCAGCTGAGATTTTTATCGTCTTTTATTCGATGATGTTAGAAACATTTTTTATTGTCGGTTCTGTTCGTGCTTACAACATATATGCACTTGACTATTGTGTGATCTATAGTGATTGGTGTTTACCTCACATTGACCCAAAAACAAAAGAGTCATCAATGTCTTATCATAGAAAATTGGAGGGAAAAAAGCCTCTAATGTAATCGATATCATCATTTAGGTGAGTGTCATGAGAATTTATGTTGGGTTGGGTTATTTCTGAATCATAAGACGTACAGGTGTATGTTGTGGTAGATTTTCCCGTGGCGTAGGCGTTGAACTTGTAATTATTGTTACGAATTTTTTTTAATTAAGTTTTAACTTTCAAATGTGTAATTAAAATTTTAATAAGTTCCTTAGTCAATGAATTATTTGATAGAATATTTTTGTGATAAACTGACATAATCTGAATAAAATTTGAAAATTCTTCAAATTCTCAAGAAAAACTTTAATAAGAAATTTTAATGTAGGTTAAAATCATAAAATATTAAATTTATATATTAAGTCACTCTCTAACATTCGCTGAAAGACGTTATTCAATTTTTATTTTTATCTAGTAACAATCCAATTCAATATTTTTCGGCATTTCGAAAAAGTATTGCACACATTCTCAATAGTCTACCGCAGATTTTCAAAAATCATTTTTTTTTATCAAGGCTATAAAAAACCAACACATTTTCATGATTGCCAATTTTTTTTTATCATGTTATACAATTTTCTCTCTATTTGATTTTTAATGGTTCATGATTGCACCTTTTTAACATTTTTTTTGAACATTTTATTTGGAAATTATGATAAAATTATTCGATTTTTAATGGAAAGCTGGTCAGTGTCATTTACTTTTGATTGTAAAATTTTGAGATTGAAAAATCTATAAAATTGATCGAAAATGTGGAAATTTTATGAGAATTATTTGTATAAACATATTTTGTAGGTCAAGAATTCATCTTAAGCAGTTCATAAAATTAAGTTACGAGTTTTGGCACTTTTAAATGTTACAGAAAAATTAACTTCTTCAATTTTTAATTTATGTCAGATTAATAATTTAAGTTGGCGTATAGTCAAGCATTCAAGTGGTTTCCGATAGCTCAGTAGCTTGGCTTGCTTTTTTCCTAATGATTTTTCAAACTAGAGTTCCTTAATTATCAAAATCAAGTTTTGACATTCAATCATTTTTCAAACAATTCAATTTCAATTACTAATGATCATAAAATAATTCCATAACATCAGCCTATCCAGAAAAGCTATCAAAATTTTCAAACTAATTACTATTTCCTGAATTTTCAGCAGCTTTTAAAACGACAACCTAATTTGAAATATTTATTCAAACTCAAAATGACGTGAATTCGTTCATTTAATAACAAGCACTAGGAACAACAAGCTCATCATCAGTTGACCTTTATGACAGTCGTGAAAGTATCACCAATCTTATCACTTATTTTGATGACATTTTATTAAAAGTACGAAATGTAAATTCGCAGTATAATTTACAAAATTTTATGGATTTATAGATCCTGAACAGCTACACAAAATTCTTCGAATTCGATAGTTTTTTCACTTTAAAAATGAGTTTACTATTTCATACGCCTCATGCATCCCAAAAGCTTATTCACCTAATATAATCATGAGTCACTCACTTAACAATTCGCTGTATCAATAAATTGGAATTTTGAATCGTTCGCTTTGTCAATTTTTGTCTTTTTTAATTCTTATAAATTAAATTATAAAAAATAAAGACAATTTTCACTTTCAAATTCACTCGACTCTAATGACACAATTTTTACTCTGCCTTATTGTTTCTCTTCGTGTGGACTGAGCAATATTAAATGTCTTATGAGCGAAAATGGAAGAATTGTGTATTATACGCACTTATTATCGTACACTCAAAGATAAGATAAGACAATTGATAAGATTTATGAAGTTAAAATACACATTCAACAGGTATTTTTGCGATGATGAAACTTCCACAACAAAAGTGACGATTTTGTGTTTTTGGTATGTGTGCAGTTATCAGAAGAACATTCCTATAATAATTTACTTTTACGTAATGATAAAGATATGTTTATTTTGGAAATGATTAACGTTATGAGCAAGAATTGAGCGGGAGATTGTGAGAGATTGAAGAGAATATTCGGAGATGAATGCATGAGTCATATGATTTTCTGCAGAAGCTCTCTTCGTGTGTTGCAAAAGAGGTTTTGTTGTTTTATTTTCTTCTTTGCTTTTACATGACATGAGTTATTTTTACTTAATTGATGAAGTGGATTTTACGCGGGACCCATTGGAAGAATATTGAATTTGTTGATCTTTTAGAATTTTGTTTTTGCTGGATTTATGAATT